CAAGTCTGCGTAGCCATGAGCATGCCACTGCACTCCAGTCTGAGCAACAGTGAGACTCTGACTCAAAAAAAAAAAAAAAGGAAATCAAGGATAACACAAACAATGCTCATGGATAAGAAGAATCAATACTGTCGAGATGTCCATACTACCCAAGGCAATCTACAGATTCAATGCAAAATCCATCAAATTACCAACATCATTTTTCTCAGACCTGGCAACAACAATAAAATCATAAGGAAACAAAAAGAGAGCACAAATTAACCAAAACAGCCTGATATTGGTACCAGAATAGGTACACAGACAGACCAATGGAACAGGAGAGAGATTCTAGAAGCAAAATTCAGCCTCTTAACCAACTCATCTCCAACAAAGCTACCAATAACCACCATAGGGAAAAGAGACCATATTTAGCAAATGGTGCTGGGAAAACTGGCTGATCACATGCAGAAGAATGAAACTGGACCCTCCCTATCATCATATACAAAAATCAACTCAAAATGGATAGAAACTTTGAGCTTTTATAAAACTTCAAACTATAAGAATCCTAGAAGAAAGCGTAGTTAACACCCTGTGTGCATTGGAATAAACAACGAATTCTTGACCAAGTCCCCAAAAGCAAATGCCATAAAAGCTAAGATAGACAAGTAGGAACTCAAACTAAAAAGTTTTTGCACAGCAAAAGAAACCATCAAGAGAGTAGGGAGACAGCCAACATAATGGGTAAAAATATTTGCAAATTACGTATCTGACAGAGATCTAACATAAAGAATCTACAAGGAACTCAAAGTAAAAAGAAAAAACAACTCCATTAAAAAGTGGGTAGGCTGGGCTCGGTGGTTCAGCCTGTAATTCCAGCACTTTGGGAGGCCGAGGCAAGTGGATTGCCTAAGACCAGCCTAGGTAACTTGGCAAGACCCCATCCCTACAATGAATCAAAAATTAGCCAGGCATGGTAGCATGTGCCTGTAGTTCCAGCTACCTGGAAGGCTGAAGGGGAAGGAACACTGGAGACCAGCAGGTCGATGCTGGGGTTGCTGGGAGCGTGCCCGGGAGTGGCACACTCACTGCACCCCAACCTGGGTGACAGAGTGAGACTCCAACTCAAAAAAAAAAAAAAAAAGGGAGCAAAGGACATGAATAGACACTTTTCAAAAGACATACAAGCAGCCAACAGACACATGAAAAAATGCTCAACCTCACCAACCATCAGAGGAATACAAATCAAAACTACAATGAGATATCATCTAACTCCAGTAAGGATGGCCACTATCAATAAATCAAAAAACAACAGATGCTGGTGTGGGAGGGAAGAAAAGGGACTGCTTCCATACTGTTGTGGGGATTGCAAGTTGGCTCAACCTCTATGGAAAGCAGTGTAGCAACACCTAAAAGAACTAAAAACTGACCCTCCATATGATCCAGCAATCCCTCTCCTGGGAATACACCCAGAGGAACATAAATCATTCTACCAAAAAAAAAAAAAAAAAAAAAAGACACCAGTACACGTATGTTTATTGTGCACTATCCATAAAAGCAAAAACATGGAGTCAATCTTACTGCTCATCAAAAGTGGACTGGATAAAGAACATATGGTATATATACACAATAAAGAATTACACAGCCATAAAGAAGAACAAAATCATGGACTTCACAGCAAATTGGATGGAGTTGACCATCATACGAAGTGATCTATCATAGAAACAAAGAACTGAATAACACATGTTCACACTTATAAGTGGGCCCTCAACATTAATCATATTAGCACATGGGAGGGATCAGCAGTCGTTGTACACTGCTAGGGGAGGGAGGAAGGTAGGAGGGTAGGGGGTATGTAATACAAAAGGTACCTGGTCCTATACTAGGGAGAGTGAGGGCCAGTTGAGGCTCAAACTTCACCTGCATGTAGCCTACTTGTGTAGTTAATCATTACTTGTACTCCACATCTCCATAATAAAAAAAAGTTTAATTAAAAAAAAAAAAGCCAGCACACAGATTCCTCTAGACTGCTCCTGTGTCTTTTCCTCTTATGATCCAAAAGTGTATTCTTACTCTACTGCTGTAATAAATCTTAGCTTTGAGGATATTCTAAAGAAGCTCTAAATGAAGAGGTGCTCTTGGAGACACTGACACACCTTCCGTAGGAATTGTGCCAACATACTCTACCAGCAATGTTACAACTTGATTTTTCAAAAGTTGCAAGATATTTCTTTCCCAATTTATTTAGTGACTCCTCTGCTATTTATTTGTAAGATAAGCAGCTTAGAATGTAGTTAAGAGACTAGAAATCTGGAACCAGACTGGTATGATCCCAGGCATACAAATTGCATATTTAGTCTCCACCTTTTTTCCTCATACCCTCCTCAACAATTCAGTCCAAAGTAATTAGACAGGACTGAGGGAAGCAGCCATGCCTCTGGGAGAAGGGGATGTGGTGGCTCTGAGCAGGGTGTTGTTGGACCTTTACTGAGATGAGGAGGGTAACCACATGACCAGGTAGAACTGGCACAGGGTGCTGGAACCCATTAGGAGTTAGGAGGACGTGTGCATGGGAGGGTACCCTAACAAGTGTTGAGCCCGAGTGGGGTGAGCAAGGCTTCTGTGCAGAAGGGATCCCAACCTAGGGAGAGGAAGGTGTACTCATGAAAGGTGATCCTAGAATGGATATCAAAGACCAAGGGGCGTGAGGATGGCAGGGTCTTCCAGAGGGGACTAGGTGCAGGATGAGGAGAGCATCTCACATTACAGGGCTGCTCAGCACAGAGTACCAGGGCCCAAGGATGAAAAATTAGCATCCCCTGTGGAGCTGGGGGTACAGAAGGGTGAGGAAGGGGTCTCTATGGTGGGACAAGTGGGGAGGCTTGGCACAAGGTACTGGAGTAGAAACAAAGTGAAAGGTGTCCTTGTAGAGGAGCAACTTCACGTGTGATGTTTAGAACCTGAGAGGAAGGAAGAGTCTATGACATAAAATTGGTTTACATACTAGGAGACTGATCAAATAAGTAAAAGTATTAAGGACAATGGGAACCAAGTTTCTCACATTTGGAGAAGACAGTTGTAGGAAAAGAGAATCCTAGACTAAGCCCTGTGGTACTAGTGGTTTGGAAGCATCTATATGAACTCAGAGTTTTTAGTACATAGACACAAAGTAATAAATAATGCTGTAATTGTCTTTCGGTATATGCATTTACACATCCCCTAGTTCAGTCTACTGAAAAGAAGCAATGGCATTCCAGAAACAGCCCAAGTCTTAATTTCTATATACTATTCTTCACTAAAAGAAATCAGGGCACCTTGGAAAAATGGCTGATTCCAGGGTTGAAATAGGAAAGTACAGGATGAGCCTGGGACATTTTGTTTCCCAAAAAGCAGAGTTGCTCAGAGAAACATCAAAAGGACAAAAAAATCAGCTTCAAGGGTTTCTACAGGCTAAATCTGGGTCAATTGAGGATAAAAATAATGATAGTAATGAAGTACTAAAAAAAAAAAAAACAACAAACCATGAGTTTGTACAAATACAATTATTAGAAAAAAGTGAAAGTTTGAAGAGAAATGAGTTAGTTACAGGATTTCAAAATACTTATTAATTACCAAAAAAAACAATCCTGGGCTCAAGCAGTCCTCCCGCCTCTGCCTCCCAGAGTGCCTCCCCACAAAATACTTATTATAAAAATAAAAATAAAATTTAATAGTGAAGCAATCTGGCAGATATCATCCTAAGTGATCAAAGTTAATTATCACCAATAATGGGAAAATTAAAATTGTTCACTACCTAATGGTATGCAATAAAAAGTATCACTTCTGTAGTATTCCTGCTAAAGAAACACAACCTTAACTTATAGTACTGAGGAAATACAAACAAACACAAACTGAAGGACATTCTATAAAAGTAACTGGCCTGTAACTAACAGATGTGTCAAGGCCAATGAAAGGCTAGGAGAGACTGAGCAACTGTTTTGGGCAAGACTAAGCAACCTTTTGGGCTGAAGAAGACTAGAGGGTCATGACAGGCTGGGTGCCATGGTTCATATATGTGATCCCAGTACTTTGCGAAAACAAGGCAGAAGGATTGTTTGAGCCCAGGAGTTTGAGATAAGCCTGGGAAACAGTGAGACCTTGTTTCTTAAAAAAAACAAACAAACAAAAAAAAAAAAACAAGAAAAAAAGTCACAACAACTATGCGCAACACTTGAATTTGGACTTGCTCTTTCTGCAATAAAGATATTATTGGGACAACTGGCAAAACTTGAATGAAATCTGAAGATTAAATGGAGGTAATATATCAATGTTAACTTTCTAATTTTGATGACTGTATTATGATTACATAGGAGAATGTCCTTCTTTCTTGCAGAAAATACTCACCAGTATTTGGAAGTGATAGTAGATGTCAGTAATCTACTCCTAAATAGTTTTGAAATTTTATACTGTACTTGCAACTTTTCTCTAAGTTTGCAATTATTTTAAAATAAAAAGAAATATACTCTCCATATATCCATATATATTGCTTACGCATATTACCAAACTGCTCTCCAGAAAAATTAAGCCAATTCATGCTCATATCATTTAGATATTGAGTATGGAAAAATAAATAAATAAAAAATAAATTATCTCTCTTTTTTTGAGTCAGAGGCTGGAGTAAAGTGGCATGACGACAGCTCACCACAGACTCAAACTCTTAGACTCAAGTGATCCTCCAGCCTCAGCCTTCCAAGTAGCTGGGACTGCAGGTATGCACCACCATGCCTGGCTAATTTTTAAAATTTTTTTGTAGATATGAGGTTTTGCTATATTTCCCAGGCTGGCCTTGAACTCCTGGGTTTATGTAATCCCCCTGCCCTAGCCTCTCAAAGTGCTGGGATTACAGGCTGAGTGAGTAACCACGCCTGGCCAACCCACATTTTAATATATAAAACAAAATGTTACTTTTGTCCCTATGCTTCTTATTGGCCCACCATGATCCCAGACAACTTTTTATATTACAATAATGCAAACTGAAAACCTACATCAATCTCCATATGCCGAAACCTGCACACCTGTCGAAAACAGCGCCCTTCTTGCCATAATGTGCAAACAGTTTCATTTCCTAGTGCAGCTTCACAGTGACGGAATGGGCAGCTGTCGCCCTGTAAACAAAAAGACAACAGAGAAAAGAATTGTGGCACTGAAATATATCCAGGCAAAATGCTCATAACAAGAGTTTCCTGGAATTTAGAAAAGCACAAACAAGCAAGAAAAGATACACAAGGTAGAAAACAACTGTGATGGGATGCAAAGAACAATATGAGGGCAATAAATTTATAATTTCCTAAAACTTATTTTTGGCAGTACCTCTCAACTGATCTGACAACATAAGTAATACAAACTGAGAGAAAGGGTTTGAAAAGACAAGAGTGTTAGGTACTTTTTAAAAATATATTTTATAATTTATCTTCATAACTGTTTCATACACACTGACTTGTGAATCCTAACTTGATAGAAAAATAAGAAAATATATAGACTAGTACTTAAGTATACTAATATATAATTAACATCATTGTGTCTCACTACATACCTCATACAATGGCAACATCTGAAACAAAATGCTACCATGTGCAAACTGCTATATGTCAGATTAAATTATCAGACCTTCGCTCAAAACTAATCATTTAAAACACAACATCAAGATGACTTAAGAAACAGTTTTTGTAACAACATACAAATTTATAGAACTAGTCATAGAAATAACAGAGCTGGGCATGGAGGCTCACACCCGTAATCCCAGCACTTTGGAAGGCAGAGGAGGGAGGACTGCTTGAGTCCAGGAGTTTGAGACCAGCCTGAACAATGAAGCAAGAGCTTGCATCTACAAAAATTCAGAAAATTAGCCAGGCATGGTGGTGCACACCTGTAGTCCTAGCTACTTGGGAGGCTTACGTGGAAGGATCACCTCAGCCCAGGAGGTTGAGGCTGTGGTAAGTCGTGACAGAGCAACTTCACTCCAGCCTGAGTGAAAGTGAGACCTTGGCTCAACAACAAACAAACAAACAGAAAGCAGCAGGTATAGCTAAATAGAGCTGCAGAAAAACCAAGCAGAAAACAGAAAATTTTGACAAAAATAAAGCCAAAAAGTCACAAAAACATATTTAGAAAGATAGCTTTATTTTTATTTACTTTTTTTTTGTTTTGAGTTGGGGGTCTTATCCAGGCTAAAGTGCAGTGATACAATCATGGCTTCCTGCAGCTTCTACCTCCTGGACTCAGATGATCCTTCCACCTCAGCCTCCTGATTAGCTGGGACTAATAATATGTGTCAGTCACCGGGTATGAACCGCCGCACCTGGCCATGATGGCTTTATAGTCTTAGTACTAAGCAGGCAATCTGGGAGAACAAAGTCAAATTCAACCCATGACAATTTCTAGAAGTATAATACAACCTATCTACTCATTTAATACAAAGTATATAAAATTAAAGTTAGTAAGCCACAGGTCAAAGTGTCCCCAATACCAAAGGCACTCTGAACAGATTAATTTCGAACATGGACTGAGACTATATGTCACTAAAAGCCTTTTCACTTTTTAGAATATGGGAAAATTATAGTTATTTATAAGGTAAAGAGAAAAAAAGTAATGAATTCTCCTAAATATGCCATTCTTTAACTAAAAAACTGACAGCAGATAATAAACAGTTGCGTAAAACAAAATATCAAAATAGCTTGGGAAAATCTTATGCAACATTAAGGCATCTGTAGAAAGAACTGATTCAGAGATGACAATTCTTACTTTGGTACATGTAGAATAGAAAAAAAAATAGCAGTCTTCTCCTTGGTTAGGCATGCTGAGTAGATTCTTAGATCAGAAGTGGCTTCTTGGAACAAGCCACTGCTTCCTCAAGGTGAGGACCAGCTCCAAGTCCTCTTGAAATGGTTCAATCTTCCAAATGACAACTCAATCACAGAAACTGTCTTTAAAATGTAATCCTAAAACAAGGAGACAATTAATTAAATATTTCAGGTAAATTCTTCCAATATTCTCCTTCAAATCACCCTGGCTAATGAGATCATACTGTTAAAACCAAATTTTAATTACATTAACATGTGCTTGCCTATAAAGAGCCTTGTAAACACACTGTGAATACTGTACATTCCCATCTATAATGTAAAAGTCAAGCCACTCGTTCTTATATACTCTCTTAATGCTTATTATACAGCTTCAGCATTGTAAATTAAATAAACATTACTAACTAAACATATTATCTACATTTTTGATGATTAAAATTAACAGTAATATTACTCCATGCAAAACCCCCAAAATTAAGATGCATACCAATAAATTTCTTAAGTTTTAAAAGAAAAAAAAAGTATTCGGATTACTTTTCAATTGAAAATAGCTGTTTGAAAGCACTCCTAGAAGTTAATGTAGGAAAACAAAGATATTCTTTTAAAATCTTCATGCTCTCAGCAAATTTTAAAGGATATAGCATTGGTACAAATGAATATACCACCATGAAAAAAGTGTGGGAAGAAAAGAAAGCTTAAAAGATAAGAAAACTCAAATTTCTGGCCTCTTCCCCCAAAAATATATTTCAATAGAGGGATAACAGAATAAACATCAATGGAAAATACAACTGAATTATAAGAGATCACTGGCAGGACATCTCCCAGAATCCAAACCAAAAATGCCAAAAGTTGTTAATATGAGAGAAAAGGTACATGACATGGGAATAATTCCAGGAAATTCTATTTCCATACAATAGAAATACTAAAAAGTAATGGAACTGGTAGAGACAAAAGAAACTACGGGCCGGGCTCGGTGGCTCAGCCTGTAATCCCACGCCTTTGGGAGGCGGAGGTGAGTGGACTGCCTGAGCCCGCGGGTTAGAGACCCGCCAGGGTAACTTGGTGAGACCTCATCTCTACAATAAATCAAAAAATGAGCCGGGCGTGGTAGCGCGCGCCTGTAGTTCCAGTTACTTGGAAGGCTGTGACGGAAGGACCCCGGAGCCCAGCAGGTCGAGGCTGTGGTGGCCAGGAGCAGCTACTGCACTCCAGTCTGGGCGACAGAGTGAGACTCCAACTCAAAAAAAAAAAAGAAACTACAAGAAAATATCTCAAAACCTGCTGGATTTGAGTCTTTAAATGGGTTTATCAAATGCCAGACAGAACTTTTCTTTAAAGATATCTCTACTGCACACAGATAAGGAGGAATTTTTGAATTCCAATGGTAAAAACAAAAACATACAAACTTTCAGAAAAAAGACTAACAAAGAAAAAAAAAAAACCAGACTAGATATGATTAGATTTCTAATCTGAATCTCTAAATGCTAGAAGACAAAATGCCATGATCTAAAATTTAAAGAGATTGTGACTTTATATTTGGCCTTTCTGACTACATTTTATGGATAGCTCAGGACTTGGAAGAAGTTTTTAGATATGAAAATCCTCAAAAAGTATACCATCTACATATTCCATGTATTCTTGAGAAAATTATGCCAGCAAGTAATCTAACTTGAGAAAAAGAATTTAGAAAGAACTCAAAGTAGAAAAAGAACAAAACAAGTCATGTCACAAGCACTATTTCACTGCATTCTAAAAATGTTTAAAACACCCTGGACATCTGATTTATGTTACAGATGAAAAATCATAAATAAAGCATTAGCAAATTGAACCAGCTATATATTAAGAAGGCAACACTATATATCAAAAAGCCTTATTCCAGGACTAACAATGGTTTAAAACTAGGAAATTCATTACATTTAATAGAGTAAAGGTTTTAAAAAAAATTCTTTGGTAATTTTTGCAAGATTTCAAAAAGGAAAAAATGGTTTAAAAGTGAAGAAAAGGGGGTCTAAAATGGTATTTTTGGCTGGGTGCAGTAGCTCATGAATATAATCCCAACACTCTTGGGAGCTGAAATGAGAGAATCACTTGCGCTCAGAAGTTTGAGAGCAGCCTGGGCAACAGAGTGAGACCTTGTATCTACAAAAAAAAATTTTTTTTTTGAGTTGGAGTCTCACTCTGTCGCCCAGACTGGAGTGCAGTGGCTTGCTCCCGGCCACCACAGCCTCGACCTGCTGGGCTCCTGCAATCCATCCGCCTCAGCCTCCCAAGTAGCTGGAACTACAGGCACGCGCTACCACGCCTGGCTAATTTTTTGATTTATTGTAGAGATGAGGTCTCGAATTCACGGGCTCAGGCAATCCACTCATCTCAGCCTCCCAAAACTCAGGATTACAGGCTGAGCCACTGAGCCCGGCTTACAAAAATTTTTAAATAGCCAGGTATGGTGGTACGTGCCTATGGTCCCAGCTACTGGGGAGGCCAAGATGTAAAGATCACTTGACCCCAGCCTGGGTAAGAGTGAGACCCTATCTCAAAGTAAATAAACAAATAAATAAACGGCATTAAAAAAAAATATCTTAAAAAAGAAAAAAAAGGCAAGCTAAAATGCAACAACATCCAGGCTAGGCATGGTAGCTCATGCCTCTAATACCAGCACTTTTGGAGGCAGAGGCAAGAGGACTGCCTGAGCCCAAGGGTTCAAGACCAGCCTGGACAATTTGGCGAGACCTCGTCTCCATAATAAATCAAAAATTAACCAGACGTGGTGGTGTGCGCCTGCTGAGGTGGAAGGATTGCCTGAGTCCAGCAGGTTGAGGATACAATGGCTGTAAGCATGCTTCTACACTCCAGCCTGGGTGACAAGAGTGAGACTCTGACTCAAAAACAAAAGCAACTTCCACTGTTGAGAAAAACTCTTAGTAAATTACAAGGTACTTCATTATAAACATGCTTAATCACCAGAAACCACTAGCACATGGTAACACACTAGAGGTAAGCTCACTCAAGAAAAACAAAAAATGACTATCATTCAACAGAGTTCCAGATGTTCTAGCATATGCATTAAGAAAAAAAGGCATAAAAACTATATGAGATTTTTGAAAAATCCAGTATCTGCAGATTATGCCTGCAAACTGGAAAACCTATCAACCAAAAAATACTGTATTTTCAGTATTATTCTTACTATTTTGTAAGAATGTACAAAAAGTAGTACATTTCCTTTATGCTAGCAACAATAATTCTGATAAGAGTCCCAATCACAATAAAACTATAAAATATACAAGAAGAAAATAAAGTATTATGCAACACCCACATTAAATTAAAAGCAAACCCAAAATCTATGACACTACTAAAGCACAGAAGACTTGGATAATGGATAAATGGCAGTAGATGGTGAAAGTTACTTCTCCCCAAAATAATGCATACACTGGATGCAATTCAAGTCAAAAATCCAATGAGAGTTTATTATTGGAACTTGACAGATTGTAAAATCATCTAGAAGAATAAGTATTTTAGAAAGCCTTGATCTATTTGATATTACAAATGGTAAATATAACAATGTTTAAATGTAATATTGGCAAATGATTAAGTACACAGATCAACAGAACCCAAGAGTCCATAAATAAATGTGGTTTATTTTAAAAAGTGGTATTCAAGGCCGGGCTCGGTGGCTCAGCCTGTAATCCCAGCGCTTTGGGAGGCTGAGGTGAGCGGATTGCCTGAGCCCGCGGGTTCAAGACCTGCCTGGGC